CTAAAGCAGCTAATTCCACCTCCAGGCGATGATTGTGAGAATAATATTTTACGTACAAATGATCTGAAGCCAATGATGTGACTCAGTATTAAATTTGTTGGGTAATAATGAAAATCTGACTAATATAACTCTGTGTGTGGTTTAAACGTTCCTCTGAAACTCCACAGTGACTTTGAATGATTACTCGTGTGATATATTGTCTTAATAATGTTTCTGCAGTCGAGCTTCATGACTCTTTATCAGGGTGGAGGTTTTAAAACTGTTATAATCCTGGTTTATAATGTGTGTGGTGATGAATGTGTTGTATTCAGTTCCTGTAGCAGGACGTACAGTAGAGAACGTTTAACTCGCAGCTGTGACCTTGTCGACTTTTATTACATATTTCATTCCGTCTCTGTGATAGTTCGCATAACTGATGCGTCCGTGTTCCTCCCGGGTTTTCGGGATATGGAGCTTGTTGTTTTTAGTTCTTGTGTCGCACAGTTTGTCCCCCACGGGACGATGAAGTGTGTGTGATGCTCCACAGTAACGTCACTCAACGATGTGTCCCTGCAGTGCTTGTGTTGATTTTCACAAAATCTCACTTGTTTGACTAGTGATGTCTCTTTTCTGCTTTTTTTTAAAAATTGATCCCCGGCCTGCTGCAGCTCGTCTGCAGAGCAGCAGCGGATGGGGGAGGGGGAGAAGGGTGTGTGTGCTGGGTTATGGGTTTTGGGTGGGGGAGGATGTGCCGGGTGGGGTGGGGGTTGTGGATGATCGACACAGGAGTGAGAATTTGAGATTATTCTGCGTCCATGCGACAGGAGAGCTGCCGTGCTCGGACGTCACAGCAGCTGAACATCGAACACATGGACCACGTCGTCTCACGGACGCTGCTCTCGGTGATTTGTGTTCCAGAAAAGAGAAGGAAACCCAGAATATTTATATATTTGAATTCTGTGAATCTCCGAGTCCCGTCTATCACGAGTAAATGGATCACAGCTGCAGAGCCGACCACACCCTGAGCTTATACACCAGGCCTTTTATTTCTCGTGTATAATAAGCCACGTGAATCAGCGGGGTTTATTTTAATTCACTTAATATGAAAAAAACCCACCGCGTCCTGCACCTCAAACTACCCACGCTTCACCGTCAATGTACACGAGCCGCAGAGATGAGTTCAATGTCAGAGAAATAAATCAGGAACTAGTTTCATCTCCTGCGACGTGTTTGTGATTTACTTTGCTCCTTGTTCCTGCTCATACACTCACAAATAAAAGACCCGAAAGTATCAGTAGCTTCATCGACACACAGAATAAATCGGCTACAAATCTATAATTGATTTAATTTAGGTTGAAATCAAACTGTTCTGGATCCAGTTTTGAAACCCGAGCTAATCAAGCTGAGTTATTCCACCTCGAGCTTAAACTATTGATCAACTGTTTTATAATGGATGAAGATAAAATCGTCTAGATCGCCTTCTTAAATCTTTGATTTCTCTTTCTGTATTTTCTTCGGGTCACTTGCAGCTCGCCTCTTTGCAGCTGTGCGGTGGCGGATCATGTTTCATGTGGAGCGGCCGTAATTCGGTCTTTTCTCGCCTCCAGCTGCAAACAGAGGATCACAGAGGAGCGGAGGCTGCGTGATGGATTCAGTTTCACAAAACAGGGACACGTTCATAAAACTGGATCATCGGGTGTCTGATGTTGCACAGTAAACCTTCCTCGATGTTCTCGCCGATTGTGATGCTGGGATTCAGTGACACACATGAATTTTCTTTTCTTGCCAGCAGATCCCATAAAAAGAAGCAATGAGTTTTCAAAAACTACTTAAACTTGCCGTGGATAAATCCGCAGCTAAAAAATAGCTCCCAACTAAATCACAAGCTCCTCCCACTTGTTTGTCTGAAAGAACTTGTTTTCAGAAAACTACAGAAAACATTTTTTTCAAAATAAAACAAAAAAATCACAGATGCTAAATAAAGATGGGCGACATGAAAGCTCCCAGTAGTGAAGCCAAAGCATCTTCTATCGCCCCCTGGTTGTTGGTTGCAATATAGGTCATAAACCCCTCCTCCTCCATGTTAGTAGAGGGGACACGGGCCAAACTAAAACATCAGATATAAAATAAATGATGATGCTGGTGTCAGAACCTTGTCCTCTCACTACTGTGGTCCCTCAGGTTTCCGTCCCTCTGTCATTCACTCACGTTGTTTTTCCAGCCACAGCGACGCAGATAAAACAAATCCTTTCTTTTCCCCAATGAAACACAGGTCGCAGCACGAATCCCTGCCTGTCTGACTGACGTCTCTCAATGGACGTCCTCACACACCTCAAAATTAACCTTGTCAAGACCGAACTACTTTTCTTTCTAGAGAAAGCCCCCCCCCCCTCCCATGACCTGACTCTTTCCATTGAAAACTCTGTGGCAGCCCCCACACAGAATCCCTGGAACCTGGGTGTAACACTCCACAGTCAACTCTCCCTTACTGCCAACATTACTGCAACAACCCGCTCATGTAGATACATGCTGCACGACATCAGGGGAATACGTCCCCTTCTCACTCAGAAGGTGGAACAGGTTCTGGTCCAGGCTAAATCCAGGACACGGTCTAAACCTTACACCCCAGTCCGTCCACTCCCCTCTGCATCGACCAATCAGCACTCAACTAAATCACGTCTGTTTTCTGTCCTGGCTCCTAAATGATGGAACGAGCTCCACATTGACACCAGGACAGAAAGTCTCCACATCTTCCACCACAGACTAAAGACACATGTCTTCAGACTGCACCTTGGTGAAGATGACGTCTAATAACAATCAGATAAATATATATATATATACACACTCTCAGTGAGAAAACGTTCTGAGTGCAGCTGATTGGTTTGTGATTTGTTCTGTGGGAAACATGTGACCTCGACACGAGCTTAATAATATTTATTAATTTACCCAACAATCTACTGATTGTATTTGTTTATTTGTGGAGGCGTTTTAAATCAGTGTAATAAGACGTGTGAGCGATGTGTTGTGGTGGAATGAAAACAGGAAGCTGCTTTGTTTCTGTTTAATCAGCTTCTTTTTTTTTTTTTTAATTCACATATTTACACATTGAAAATCTGGAAAAGTTGTGCGACACAGATGATTCATATCCGACAAGTTCATGCACGTCTGAGGTTTCAGGCTGTTTGTGATCGCTGCTCGTCACTTTGTCAGAGCAGAAACATATTGAGTCATATTCTGAGTCGGTATCAGCTGCAGCAGATATGACTCCCCTCCACAGTGTGAGCAGTTAATTTTTAACACCTCCTCTCAATATATTACAGTATCACGCTCCGAGCACTGATTACACATGAGAAAATCCTGCCTTGCTGCAAGATGGTGCAACTTCACCGTCAGAGAAGTTGATGCCAGAGGTGTAATTGTGCAGAATTTATGGTTTCAACACACCCAAGGAAAAGTAGGAAGGACGCAGCGAGAACATCGTGAATCTTAGATTTAGATTTGATAGGAATCCACACTTATGTGGAAATACCAAATGGTGACAGAGACGTTTTTTAATCTGGTAATTTAAGATTTTTGAAAAGGTGGTGGATTCAAAAACATCTGCATGGAAAAGAGTCAGACTGGATTATTGAGAAAAGACGAACAGATGGATGAATGTAATATAATACAAGTCTTTATTAACCCCCTGTGTTGTTTCTCCATCAGTGGTTGGGTGCTCCCTCCTGCCAGCGAGGCAGCTACGCCTTCTACAAGTCGGTGAGCAGCAGAGCTCAGCCCGATGGGCCCGTCCAGGTCTGGAGGCTCGGGGAGTTTTACCTTATCCGCTGTGGGCCGCAGGATCCCGTGTGCATCGCTGAGGTGAGAGACCTGCACATGTGAACTTTTTTTTACTGCGTTACATTTGTAGATCTCGTTTCATTAATCACTTGAACTATTGAAATCTGTCGAGTCTCTCTCAAACATCAGAATCGGCGTTTACATTTGCTGCTGGAAAAAACTTATAATAAAAGTGTTATTTATTTTTTATTCATTTGGTTGTATTTGTACCTAATATATTTGTTGATTAAACCTTTAGTTACAGTTCATGTCGAGCATTCTGCTGATAAATCTGTATTTTAACCAAAGTTAACACATCAGCTGTGTTTGTCCGTTCTCTCCTCCTGCAGGTGACCTTACTGTGGGAAGACCAGACCCGGAGCCACCTTCTGTCCAGCGCCAGACTCTACTTCTTACCTGAAGACACGCCAAAGGGCCGGACCAGGGAGCACGGAGAGGTGGGTCAGAGGTCGAGGAGACCTCATCTCTACGCACCTCATTTTGTTGTTGTCTCTCTCCTCAGTTGAAAAAAATCTGCCATCAACCGTTTATTAGCTTCATTGATAATCAATCAAATAAAACAAGTGAGTTAGGATGAACAGGGTCAGTGAGCTGCAGCTCAGCCTCCACATTAGAATCACACTAATGTATTATCCACATGTAAATCCCATGACTAGTCTGAAGACAAGTTTTCCACATTTTGAACTTTATATTCCACAGTTGAAGTCTCTATTTCCATTTCCAAGATTTTCCTGGAGGAGAAGAAAATTTCTATTTGTGAATCACTGCAGAAGCCATTTTTAATATAACGTGTATATTATGGCTTGAGGGTTGAGGCCCAGGGGAGGTGGAGGATGTTTGGGGGTGGGGGGTCGGGCTGTGCATCAAGGACCAAACAGGATCACGGCCCACAAACTGGAACGGGAGGAGACCTCAGACTTGAGCTGTTATCTGGGTAAACAGTCAGAGGAGCTCGTCCCTCCACCAACGCTCCCTGAAAGTCAATGAAGCTGCATTAAACTTCACACTCTCATAGATATCAGTACTTTTAACGTGTCTGATGTTTTTCCATCATGAATTATTCTTTGACAAATCAGTGAACATGTTGAAAAACGTCCTCAATGTTACAGAAAGTCACAGAGTCTTTTCTCAGAGAGAGAACCTCCTCGATGCAGAGCAATCAGTGAAACTGACTTTTACGACATGCCTCTCATAGACACGTTAAATAAAGTTTGTTAGATCCAGTTGGACTTTTACATCACATGTGATTCATTCAGAGAAACTTGGACATTTCTGGATTTCGTAAATGGAACTTTTTTGTCACAAACACGTCTTTAGGGTTTTGGTGTTGAAAGAGTTAAGATCTGATCTGAGAACTAAACACTGTCAGAAAACATTGGTTTGAAAACGACTTCACGTATTAGAACTAAATTCATAACGGAGCAGTCAGGATTATGTTAGAGAATAAATAAGTTTGTGTGTTTTTAACCGGACAGCAGCACAGAGGTGGTGATGGCAGATCAAATAATCCTCACACAGGATGAACCCCAACTAAAGATCCCAGCTCCAACTTCACAGCTGTAAACACACTGAACTAAGATGGGGCCCGTGGGATGGTTACCATAGTTACTTTATTGTAATGTGTGGAACCAGTTCACTGTCTCCTTGTTTTTAAAATGACAACACGAGATTTAACCAGTGTGTGTGTGTGTGTGTGTGTGTGTGTGTGTTCAGGATGAGGTGTTGGCCGTGTCCAGGAAGATGGTGCTGCGGGTGGAGGACCTGGTGAAATGGTCGTGTGCGGAGCCGACAGGTTGGAGTAGCACTTCAAAGCTGACGCCGCCCTGTGGAACCAACGGCCTCCACAAACCTCCGCAGAGCAGCGATGGCAACGTCAACACTTTACTGGACAAGAGCATCGAGCCGCTTCAAGGAAAAGCTGAGAGTAAGAAACACTGAGGCAAACTGGTGAATGACTGAAACTTGAAAGTGAATGAGAACCGTGTCCGTGATGAAATTAGAGAAATGTATAGATTCATTATCAAGTTACTGATTTGTTTCACTTGGTTTTTTTCTTCCCAGAGGGCCCGTCGGACCGTCAAAGCATCAAAGTGCTCAGCTACCCGCAGTACTGCCGCTTCCGCTCGCTGCAGAGACGCATCCAGGATGGTGCGAGGGGGCCGGGGCTGCAGGACCCCCACCTGTTGGCCCTGGGCGGCGTCAGGGCGCTGCCCAGCATCCGGCTGATGTACTGCAGGGACACGTTCAACCACCCGACACTGGAGACCAGCGCCAGCTTCTCCTGGCAGTTCGGTGAGTGTCTCAGAAAACACGCTGACACACTGGGGCGGTTTTTAAATGACTGTGTCCAGTGTTTCCTCTCTCTCATCCGCCGTGCTTCACGAGCTTTAAAACTGATGATTTATCAAAGCTGTGTTCACAACTTGTTTCTTCTTTAGATTTCTGAACTTTATATCAGTAGTTTGAAGAATTAAGTTATTGATCTTTAAAAAAAAAAAGCTTCACCTTTTAAAATGAAATCCGCAGGTTGAGGAAGCAGCTTCTTACTGGAGTGTTGATCTGATATGAAATAAACGACCATAAAGTTTAATTTCAGTGTGAATGCTAAATCTTTTCTCAGTGTTGTCAGGAACAAGTGACTGAGACAGGAACTGGATTAACG